TAAATTGGTTGGCACTGTGAAATGTTTCTGTCTTGTTGACAACTAAATACGATCAAAACATTGTATTTGCGCCAAATGCAACTAAGATAAAAGGTAATCTTCTTGCTAAACACCCCAGACTTTAGGATTCGACGTTTCAAAAGAATTAAAAGCAAGCAATATTTAACTCACCAAGTACTGTGCGGCCAGCTACTTGTGTGGAATTCAGCAGACCTATCAGTAAGCACATCAGTTCACGGAAGCAAGTTGACTAGTATCAATGCTACACCATATACAACAATGCAATTTTAAAGTTGCAGTCTGAGACTGTCGACTTGTGAGGTGCTAAACAAAGGCGCACTTAAAAAGTCATTTACAAAAGAATGCGAAACCTGAGAATGTTATGTCTAAAGAAAAAGAGGTAGTTTCAAAGAAAAAAGTTGAATACTAAACAAGCGACAGTAGAAAACCACCAAAAATAGCCTAAAAACTAGTACAACAGCACATTTTCACTTTGAGTGAGTATACCGAAGGCAAAAATAGGTTTACGTGGCCGAAAAGCATGAGATTCAAGGGTTCCGATCCAAGAATTACACAAAAGCATCCATGGTAACCAAAACTATTGGCTTGTGGGTAGAAATGGGGCAGCTTGTAGTAGAAGACCATCAACTTACTGGTCAGCGTTTAAGTAACAAGCGGCAAGTAATCCTCCCGACGTAATAGCAACTAAGCACTCATCGATGTCTCCATCAACGATGTCCAACTCTGGGGAGGGAATGCAATAGAGCATCGAAAGGTCAGATACGGGAGAGAGCGACGGGAAGTGGAAGATCCGCATGATTTTTGCAGGTTCTGTCGTAGGTAGAGCGAATATGGAACCGTCAGCGGCGCCAAAGACAATAATTGCATGCGAAGTATGACCCGTTAGTTGTTGTAGAAAGTTGGCACTTATAGGGCATTCGTTTGAAGTCGGCACATCTAGCTTTGTAGAGAGAAGCAACGCAGCAAACGGTGGTGGAAAACTAACACTGCGAGCTCTGGAAACGATAAGAGAAACTCTGAAAGGGAAGTCCAAGTGGAAAAAAATAAGGCATACTTTTCTGAGTAAGTGGATGGTTTGAGCTCGTACAAGAACTGCTTTTCATTATTACTGTCGTGTAGAGAAATGGAGACTTCAATGGAAAGATCCGAGGAAGAAAAGTGATGATAAGTTGGGACGTGTTGAGCTTGAAATTTTCCCCGCTCAATCTCAAGTAGAGAGCTGCCAAAAGCGTCCAGACGAAGGGATCTGCTTTGATCAAAAAACAGATCTTCCTGAGACGAATTCATTTTGGAGTCCTAAAATTTGAGAAGACAACTATTCATTCAAATTTCAATACCCATCAACATTCCATAACTAGATAATGGGTTAAAAAGCGAAAGGTATATTCACTATCAAAATGTAAGTTAGCACCTCAAATTGTGTACACGTAACTAACACCAGGTACTGAGACTAAATAACGGCAATCCCAACTTTGACCACAGTCCCGACACCAGCTCCCTGTGCACACACTGGAATTTCCCACCGAACATATATAATCGCATCCGCAGTAAGATAAAACCATCTCTTGCAAAACTACCGAATAACTAATTAGCACCATTTATGAGGTACATTTCACATAGCATCCAGCTAAGTTATGATGTGTAGTTTTTGTGCTTTTTCTAACCATTAAAAAGGTAGATGTTTGAATAGCTTTCGTATATGCTACTGAAGAACTGAATCACAAATTGGCATTTTGAAATAACCAAAGGCCGAAGCTGCAGGATATTGCGTAATTTTAAAGTTGCCTGAGTAAATCATACATATGGCTCTTAGACTGCAGCATTCCGCAAATTGAAGACGCCGTTTACTGTAAGTATTGCATTGGCTAGGCAACAATCCAAGAGGCCTTTCTTGTAATGCAACTATTGAGCCATGGTATGAACATGTAGACGGCCCCCAACGAGGCGATTTTTTCCATTTATAATTTTTTGATTCAATGGTCTCAGAGAAATATATTCAGCTTCTATCACCCACTTCTATTCTTCATTGTTATTTAACATTTGAACTTCATTCCCACCGATGTTACCCCTTTACAACGCACTACAAACGCAAAGGCATCATAAGGGACCACTAGCACTGACCTCCTGCCTCATGGCGTCACCATTGCACCCCCTCACACACAGGTTGCAGAGCCGGTAATTCGGCAAGCTTCACTTAAATCGAGGACCTCAACCTTGCTTTCGGATTCACTCTTAACGTCGCTTTAAGCCAAAACAGCAGTTCGCTGAGCTAAAATTTTTACTCATGGACGAATTGCAGACCCAAAGAGATCCATTATTTCCAGAAGTCGATCATTACAAAACCTTTCTTAAGAAAAATTAACGAATTTCCTTTACATAGAAAGAGAGGTGACAGAGAGGCGGAGGCAACATTTTGCGCACTTAGCACATGTGGCCCACCGTTGAGAGCATGTATAGAAAGGACTTTTACCAGAGCAACGCCATGAGTGCATAAGTTCACATACACGGACACAAACGATATTTATCTGAAACAAAAAAACAGTCAGATCAACAAATCCATCATGGTTAAAATGAAGAAACAGCGGGACAAAGCCAACTCACCTGTGAGAGGAAAGAGGAAAGAAAATATGTCATCACAGCGCCGAAGCAGAGGGGTTGGCAGGCCTAACACCCTTGATGATGTGCGCGCGAGATCCGACAAGGCCCCGTCTGTCATAGGCTGTCTTGCGTGAGCTACGACGCCGCTTTCCACCAACCGCCACACGCAACCGATTGGCAGGCTTCTTGACTTTGAAAACGCGCACAATCCAGTGCTCCGAGGTGAATGCTTCCTCTAGGTGAACAAGGTCGATATTCTTAACTCCAATCTCCGCGTTACGCGCTCGGTCGAAACCGGTTGGCATTCGAGGGTCCAATTTTATCTCCGCAAAACGGTAGTAACTCATCTTGTACATTAGAGAGTTAAACATTGCCTTTGGCACCTGATGATCGACGCGGTATTCGCCCTGCATGTGAAATGGAGTAGGAAGTCAACAACTATTTGGTGATTTCTTGTCACTGGGATGTAGTTATTGTCCAAAAACAGTCCGTTCAACCGGTATGACTTAGACAAGCTCTGATTCACCTGAGCCGTGTAGTAATCCTGTTCATGAATGTCCTTCGGGTGCTCGCCCTGCGCGATACGCACCATCCAGAGGAACTTGTTGATATCATCGCCCGAGTAGCCGCTCACTCCGCCAAAGATTATGAGCACGTAATCCACATCCAGTGAGTGCATCAACTAGGAAGAAAGAAAAGACGTTAATGAAGTGGTACGACGGGGAAAGAATACAACAAGGGTGCCTACCCGGAAGGCAACTGTCTCATTGGAGGACATTGCCATGCCTACAAGTGCAATATGGCTGTTATTCCATGTGTTGTTGTCCACTAGAGTGGTGCGATTCGCCATGCCTGCTATCTGATAGCCGTAGTCCCACCATGACATCACCTTGGCATCCGGTGGTGTGTTCTGCCACAGCCAGTAGTAGGCCTCTCTACAACGCGCACACAACTTTTATCCCATTGGAACTAAAAAAAGGGCCTATAAACAAAAAGGTATAGAGCTTGGATCTGTGGCTTTGACCATACTTAAGTTCTGCGAAAGACGAACAGGTTGAAAGAAGTGATTGCAAAATGTTGAAACATACTTGTGTGTTAGGTCGCATAAACTGTCATAGCGATTATGATCTCTTAGAAGATTTTGGCAGTGTCGAGGGGAGTGGTTGCAAAAGCCGAGTCATTGATACTAAGTTATGAACAAGGTTATACGCCGTTTCAACGTGTCGACGTCTAATAGAGAGCACGGAAAAGCTCACAACCATTGAGAATTGGATGAGAAGAGGGCGCTGAGTTGCATTAACGATTGAAGTAGGCGCCTACTGTGATTGGTGTCGGATGGCATATTTGTAAAAGCCTGCAGTTGTAAAGAGGAGACGGGGTTCAAGGTATAATCCCGCATAGTCTACATTCGCACATAAGTATGCGGAACGTCGGGATCTTTCCTGCTCGCACAGAGATAGCCTGGTGCACCATTCAAGACATCTGTTTGACTAGGTTCGAAAGCTCCAGTTCCATGGGGATAAATATGCCACCAACCTGGAATGCCTTACAACGACTGAAGGGACGAAAGCAACAACAGTGCACACACATCACACCGTATGTTTTAAGTCAGCTCTCTTTCCATGAAAAGATGACAAACGGAAGGAGTTAAACTGCAAAATAGACATGCCAGGTGGTAAGTTTAATCGTTTAGCAAACTAGTGGAAGCAAGACTTAACCATCCTGCCTCAAAGTGATGCAACATTAGAGGGATGGAGAGATGGGCGATGAAATGCAGTGAAGGTTAAACGTCTTTATGGCAAGTCAAATTGTATAAATGAGACGGTACAATTGACAGCATGGATGCTGAGGTGGCATCAGAGCAGAAAAATAAACTGCAACATTTCATGACTTAGGTGTCTTCTTTTTGAACCCCACAAACGTCAGCATCAGAAGGAATGATAAGTGACTAGACGATCATGCAACAAACCAAAACGCGTTGAAATGGCGTGTCATGATTGAGAAATGCAAAATACCAACCAAAAATTTGTTCATACCGACGCCATTTTGGAATAAGCTGCTAAGCTTAATGCATATCAGAAAACAGGCAAATCTTGTAGAATAAAGGAAGTGACAAAAAGTTGTTCAAAGGGAATAAGAGTGAGAAACAAAAATTAGAAACATTAGAAGGCCGCCAACCTGAAGTCATCGAGAATGATTCTTTCACCCTGATTGCCCTGATAGGCTAGGACGACGGAGGGGCTGGAGTAGGCGTTAGAAGTCACCCAGGTACAGTGGAGCATGAACAGGAAGAGAACGAAAGTTGCCACCATTACCACCACTTTGCGCACGCTGATACCCAAAATGTCGCCGCCACTACTGTCACTGTCAGAAGAGTCGGTAGCATTCTTTCCGCTGCCACCCACTCCATGGGAATGCTGTAAGAGGGGGTAACGACTCAATTGATTCAGCCACTTAGCGATGTAGTTTGCGTAGTTGACGTATCCTCATTTCATCTGATAACGTTTACCAAAAAGGCGTCCGAAGCAAACTACATATCCCAGCAGCTGTCTAATAATGTGATAGCCGCTTCAAAAAAGCAAACAATGCACCAGTTTGCACCAATTCGGATAAACGTGCTCAGGTTACCTTATCTGAAGCTGCCTTCGAAGGTTTGTCGTACAGCTGTTTCTCTCGTGGATTCGTCGTACCCTTGCCTGTTTGCCTCTCGTTGGTGTTATGTTCAGTGCTCTCTTCCCCACCAAGTGCATCATCCCTCAGGTAGACATCATAGAGACGGGAAAAAGCGATAGCCGCCAGGACGCAGACAATAGGTGCAAGGGTGAGAATAAGCCTCACCATCACACCCGCAAAGTAAGAGGCAAAGATGGCATAGAGGATTGCAAACACACGAAGATCATTGAGCTCCTCGAAGCAAAACCACACACCTGCAGGGAAAACCGCGACGAGGACGTGAAGATCAAAGAAGAAGGACGTCCAAGTGGTGGGCTGATGCTCCGACACCGAGCTTATGATGGGAATGTGCACCCGAGCGTAGCCGGTGTCCCATAGCGAGTAGAACCTGAACTCACGTGGGAAATAAGACTTAGTTTGTGCTACCCGGGCTCCACTTCCATAAAGCTATACGGCTGAAAGAGTAACCATTGTCAGAGGTACACAACCTTTGCTATAAGAAAATCGGCCACACTTGGAACAAATTTTGCTTGCAAGAAAATCTAGTTTATTCTCCAAAATGATGTTACTGTGGCTGCAGTAGTCTAAGTACTTTATCAACTCCCTACACACGTGCAAAAGCCATTTATCCATGGCTTGATATACTCGCGGAGAACTCAGAGCCCAAATCGCAATTACTCGCGATGGAAATAGAGCACCTCCGGTGCCATGCCGAGTTCCAAAGTTTCCAATTACCTCGAAGCGGAGTTTAAGTTCAATTGCTGTTTTGAATAGAGAACTGATCGATTCTGAAGAAAATAAAATTCTTTGGACCCCCTTCCTTTTCTTCTGTAAATCACCACCGAAAAGCTTCCCCAAAGTTAGCCTTGACTCGTACTTTTCAGTTTTTCCTTCGCTACTGCAGTGCTGAGCTCTCACCAGCACTTGCATAGTCGGGTTAATGAAAGGCATTTGTTTTGCCGATGTATTTGTTATCACCATGTCCCTGTAGGTTCGACCATTCATATAAGCACTACGAACGGGGCAGGCCCAATTCTCTGATTTAACTGTTTCGTCGCCGAAAATTTTGCGTCCTACTCGGACCATAAATACCAACCTGCCCCAGCTGAGCTATGTAACATCGCAGATAAGATTACGCTTACTGACAAGACCTTTCAGACTCCTTAAGTAGCTGAAGGAAAACAAATACAGCATTTAACACCAGATTTAGGCAGTTAAATAGCACCCCAGTTTTTGTACCTACACCCGAGGTCACCAATGAGAGAAATCGTGATAGGCGTAACAAACAACTAAACTGAATTTGAGAATGATAAAACAGGCGTTGTATCTTGCACCTCTCGGTCCTCCCAGTTGAAGTCACCTCTATGAGAGCGGTGTGTAATCAGTTTCCCAATGCGAAGCCATAAGATACTAATAACGGATTGGCAAATCTCTCATGAAAGAATTTAGCGGCCCCAACTAATGGCAACGTCACAAATGTATGCAGCATCGAAATTATGTGCATTTTGACAACTTAGAAACCAAAATGGTGTTAAATATGTTTCTCAATGGTAATTTGGATTCTAAAACGCACCAGTAATTCAAAATATGAAAGGTGCTTGCAATATGAACATAGTAAAACAGGTATTCTGTCGCAAAATTCCATTGAAGATACAGCAACGAAGGCAAGAGGAGAAGAGAAATAAACGCACCGACCACTCCAAGGCGCGATGACGCCAGCAATGGTAAGACCGCAGACAACGAGGAAAACCAAACCGGCCACTGCAATTATAGCCATTGTGAAAAGCGGACGTAGCTTCTCCGAGGGAGCAAGGGATTGGAGATAATTTAAGAAAGCCACCGCCTATAATAATTGCACTTGACATAGAAGCCAAAGAACATAAAAACTGAGTTGCATAATCCTAGTGGAGTAAGTGGTAGCAAATGGACGAATGCTTGCCAGTCTTAAACGAAGTTATTAAATTACATAGATGATAAAATTTTAGCTTATTTTCCGGCTGAGGAGAGGAGCCCGTTTCCAACAAAATATCAAGCATTTTGCTACAAGAGAAGACCATTACTTAAGCCCTCCACTCCGTCTGTTGCTAAGAGTCAAAATAAAGATGCAGCCATTTCAACAGGCCCATCTGACTCTGAAAAATGTCATGGAAATAATCCCAAAATTATCAGCTCTGACGGATGTATATGGGCCAATGAGGAGCAAAGGCAGATAAACACTGCATCAACTTGACTTCAATGCCAAATGAATGAGATGGTAAGCTCATTGGCCCGACATGCACCAGTAGGCCTTTAACACCAGCTCGCTATTTAATGGAAGATCCAACCAGCAAAGTTCATTTGAATCTATGAGACGTGTCACCAATACGTGCCCAATAGACGTACGTTTGCAATGCATCGAACTCCAACTTCCAATGAGACGCCATCTAGAGTGGAAGTCATTAGAGAAAATTGTGTCCAGCTATGCCATGCTCCAAAGTGTCACAATCATTTGAAATCAGTGATCAGTCACTCAGTATTTTGTTTCTCTGAGAAGTAACCTGCTTCAACTAGAAGATAGGAACGAGAACGGTTAACTAGTCTTTCTCATTTATGACGAAACAGAACATGTGCGCAAAGCCAGAATCTTCTAATTACAAAGCCAACAAAGATTGAGTACTCACCTGGAGGAGCACAAACACCCCAGCTGCAGCCATATGTTCACTGGTGCGGACCGGTTGAAAGCCAACGAATGGCACCTGCATGGATAGAATGAGACCTAGTATGTAGAAACTAGTGTAGGCCACGTAGAGGCGAGTAGAGTAGCGACCGGTAAGGCAGAGCACAAACACGTGTAGCGGAACAAGATTGATGATGAAGACGTAGCCACCCCATGCTGAGACCATGTATAGATAGGCCAACGCACAGAACACTGACCAGCAAAGATGCCCTGTGCGTACTGCGCGCAGCCAAAGGAAGTAGGTAAGCAGCAGAGCGAAAATCGCTATTCCTTCGTTATCGTAGCTGCCAGCCACTGAACGACTGATGTAACCGGGTACTATTGACAAGTGAAAGAATTGGTCGAAAAGTGCTTGACAAGGCAAGCAGCCCTGATAATCTTGCTTAGTTCTACTAAACTCAACTTGATGTGCAAACGAAAGTCCCAAAACATCGTCTAAGCCAAATGAAAACATAAAAAGTGGCTTTAGTCAAGAATTCGAAAATAATATTTCGACGTTCAACTTGGTAATCAAAGCGATGGTGCAAAACCGTGCTATTGCACGTTACTCAATCCCTCTTCATCTCGATTCCTCCTTCCACATGGAATATGGCTCAGCCCTGTGGTACTGCTAAAAGAACTCACTTCACGTACCAAAGTGCCCCAGCTTTGAATCAGCGTTACAATCAAGCAGAAACGCAAGACCAAATTTGAAGGAATATAAACCGTTAGTGAAAGAATGGTTCTCGTATTTATAGAAGCAGGTCATCTAAAGCTTTGATTTTTTTCTGACAGAACTCAGTGAAAGTCAGGGAGGAGAAAAAGGGCCACCAGAACAGCAAAAAAAAGACGTAAATATAGATAATACCTCACGAAATCACAGCGCATTGAAGATGTGTGGGAGTCATCTTTAAATATGGCAAATACAAATATACAGAAAGTGCAATCAATATCACAGATTTAAGTGGAACATGATCGACGAATCACCGCATTGTATTCAACAGAGGGTAAAAGTTGTTGACTGCTACCCCAAGAACAATGCATCGACGCTCAAACGTTGGAGACACTTTTATCTAAATTGGACTTAAAGATACCCAAGCGAAAAGTTTTTTTAGCCCTTATGCAGGCAGTAATAGGGATCCATCGAAATCATTTTGTAATATTACCTTTATACTTGTGAATCAGGCACCACAAATGATTGCATTACTTCAAACTGTCATCCACACTCACCTATTGCTAAAAAGCAGGCACTAAAGAGACCAGCGCGATCATTCCAGAGCTCTTTGGTCAACAGGTAGCCCATGATAGCAGTTAAGCCACTGAAAATAGGTGCCAGAAACACACAAACTTCGCGAATGTGGACTGGTATATTGAGCAATCGGAGAACATAGTAAATTGATCCTAAATTAACAAAGCAAAATGATTACGTATTTACACAAAACTAGCATAACCTATGTGAAACCAATTACCATTAATTAATTATTTGGTGCTGTTCAATTCCCCTAGTAGGATTTAAAATTCCGCTAGTGCAGAAAGTTCGTACTCTTATTACAGCCTAATACTGTTTATGCTTACCCGAAGTAACCATAAGTCCGGGGTATACAGTCCCACCAACTATCCGACCAAGAGGATACCAAGCAGTAGTATCAAACCAATTGAGAAAGTCATAAAAATTATTATCAACCATTTGCTTTGTGGCTCGGTAGTTAAACCATGGGTCGAATTCATGAATTATGCTTTCAAATCTGATAACTGAAAAAAGACGAGAGCAGAATCCAACTGCCCATGCCAGTACCAATATAAATATGGTAAGAAGTCCTTTGGTGCTATTGGCATTCAGCAAAAGCTTGGTTTTCATCGTGGAAGACGCTGAAAACGCTGTCGTCAACGTGCACACCTCTAAGTGACTAGCCGACGTCTGTGATTGGGCGACGTGGGAATTTATCAAAAAGGTCGTGGAGGAATCGCTTTTGCATGCTTTAAAATTTGTCTAAATTTATGAGCAGGTGCCAATGTTATCTTGTAAAATTTGCGCTACGTATATAATGGACACTAAATTAAGCTACTTGCTTATGAACCTTAATTAATTAGTTCTAATTACCTCTGCACCTCATCTTCGACGTCGGTATGCCATCTCAGTGCCATGAGTGGACACCTTAGCTTTTAGTTAAAGGCGGTATCTCTCCACTATGTTGCAGATCAATAACCTATATTCTGTAATCGCATTGTTTTTGTGTATCCAAGGCGACATCTGTTTGTCACCGGTATATGCAAAATATACCACCACAATTGTAAAACTAGATTTCGTTGAAATGAAGTGGAAAAAACAGAGCCACTTATGTGTGGGCTAGTGGGACACATGGTCTGGAAAAAATTGATTTGTGGTCCTACCTAAAAACCTTAACTCTTAGCTATTACTATATGGTGCAATTTTTTGCGGCATTCGCACCTTGGCACTGCAAAGTAACCTTTCTACACGTGAACAGTAATGATTTGGAGCAAGCTTCCTGCCTTTCCTCGTATTCAGGAGCCTTAGCGCGCCGCAATGGTGGCGAATGCCAACGAACAGGGCCACTTATATTATTGAGGAGATGTACTGCAGAAGGGCTAACCTTTGACAATCTGTATAGGAAGCGTAAGGAATTTCTTACACGTTTATTTACCACCCCAGCATCGTATTTTACAATGAAGATACTATCAATGGAAGAGCTGCAACTCGCGGTCATGATCCTCCTTGTCAAAGCTATCAATGAAACAAACGATGATATCCCTCATTTAGCTGGACAAGATTTACACAGGCAAGGACGAGTAAGGCTAAAGTGAGGACAAGAGGTAAGTTTGAGTTAACGCAAGATCTTCATACCACCATCCGTTGACTGACCATGCTTTGCAGTTGATTTTCTATCTATCCTCCGCCGGTTCAGTTCTCAAACAGATAGCGATCTCAGTTTCTGCTGAGTTCCTCCTCAAAAAATGGACTTAAAAAGTTGGTTTATAGAAGTGTTTCCTGCAGCACCAACTAAACCCCCTCATGTTGGTTGACCATAGGGGAAGCCGAGGACAATGCTTGAAAGAAGGAAAACATGCAACAAACTTCCTACTTGGGTCGCAATTTGTTTCACGATTACTTAGAGTTCATCCTTATACGCTTCTTCACCTTCGGACCAGATGAATGCCCCTTCTGTACGTTAGCAGCACGTAATCAGCTCAGCTTTTACAGATTCGCATTAAATGAAACTAGAATGGGCATGTGATTAAATAGCACCTGTAACAAAATTGAAAACGTCTCCAGTCCGCAACTCCTGAAATAATGAGTCGAGTAGACATCTAATCTTTACCAGGTTCAAAATTTCATCTCACTCTGTGCCATGCATTGATAGTAAGGTTAAGGTGACACACCAGACCTTTGCCTCACCACAACTTCACCCAGGATCAGTGAGGACAAAAAATAAGAGGGCTTGGGTGTTTGAAAAGCATTTATTAAAGGAAACAACAAGAGATGCTTAAAACAGACTGAAACTCTTAAACTCATAGAAAAGGGGAACAGAAACTTGAGAGAATGCATCTCAGTTTTCGCCGCAAATGTGTATCCATTGCTTTGTTTAACTAATTCCGACCAAAATACCGAAATTTTACAAACGCTTCAAACTTCCAAGTGCTCGTGAATGAGCGCATCTGTAGAGGGATTGACTTTTATGCAACGATTTGACATTCTCACATTCCTACAGAAAGTGCATCTGAACGAAAACTGAGAAGCACAAAGCCAGAAACGGAGAGGCAGAAGCAAGGAATGTCTGTAGCATAAACCGTCTGAAACCTGCCAAGTGTCCTGTCAAGTGCTGTATAGCAGACCTCCAACAACCACGTACCTGAAGACCCCTTGACTCCTTACACGACATCTCACTATTTCACACTGTTGAAAGCGGCCATGGCAACTAGTGATTATAATCAGAAGTGTCTGAAATGGGCCTGCTGCTCGAGTTCAATGGGGCCCACTGGAAGGCGAATGAGGACGCCCACTGTCCGACTTCTCTCTATAAAAGTGCGATGGATAATAACAAACAGTTTTCTAGGTCCAAAATGATACGAACCACAACTATGAAAATTGTAAAATTAAGTTTACCAAAACGTAAGTCAGGGGTAGCCGGCGTATGCACCCAATTTCACAAATCACTTGCTTGGAAATGTTTAAGCGATATTTATATATTAAATGCAATAAACAATGACACCAACAATGATGGTAAACACAAATTGGCATCAGTGAAAGCGGTACTTTCGTGCAGCCTTCAAGTAGACGGGTTTTGGCATGTTAGGATACTCCTTTTCAATTTCAATATAACGCTTTCCTGTGGTGTTCACCACCTCACCGTTCAGGTAGCGTAGCTTGCCACCATTTGTCTGTGAAAAAAAAACAGAACTTTACGGGTGCTAGTGTTGAGGAAAGAACGCAATATGATCAGTCGAAATTCCCCCAGTTTAAAAAGATGCCTTACGATAGCCATATTCGAATGTCAAATTCAACTAAACACCACCGAATTGTGGGGTGAGGTTCGAATACCTGTCCTTTCCGATTATATGTAAACACGGTCGACTCCAAAGGATAAAAAACCATAGAAAGAGTGTTGGGATTATGAAATCTGTTTGAAAACAATGTGCCTCAAGATATGTTTTCTCCTCCAAATAAATGTGTAAGAACAACATCGAAGACGTCGATACGCGAAGGCAGGTTAGTGTTCCAAGTTTGAAAGAGACTTCAAAGATTTTCCTATACGTTAATGATCTTAGTGGTGCACAACCACCATCAATGAAACGACTGAACACTTCCTCTAATCAGAACAGACCAAAAGCTTCTCAGTTTGCCTTACTCCTCTATATTCTCTAAGGCTATTTACTATCGAACTTCCACCAACTTCAATGCCATTTCAATTGCAAAAACACCAACGAAATTTGGGCACTTAAATTTCAATCGGCTAAATAAAAATCATCTTGATTTCTACATCAGCAGGGAAAAAATAGGTGACTAGGAGAAATTAACGTAAAAATGTGTTGTTACGGGCAATAAAAGGAACAAAGCTTCTTCAAGAGATAAGCAAAACAAATACTAAATATTTAGTGGACCATGTTAGTCTACGTAACAGGTGAAACTATCACTCCACAAGAAAAAATTAAAAAATAAGTTGTCTCAAAAATATTCTTAATCAAATGTGACCTACTTTTTTAAATGGAGTAAACGCTGTTAACATAGTATTCAGCTCAAACAATTTACTAACATGGTACGCCGTCCCAGTAACCTC